TATATACTGCACATAATCAACATATACCACATATAGGTTATTGCACATGTAGTGACATTGAGGTTGAATTATTAGTTATTGTCAGTTGTTCAGTGTTATTTATCTAGAGTTCAGTAGTCTGACAGTTTGTGGATAATAACCGTCCTTTAGTCTTTTTGTACGTGATGACAGGCTCCTGTATCGTCTGCATGAGGGGAGTAGATGGAAGAGTCCTTGTGCTGGGTGGGTGTGGTCCTTAATGATGCTGCTTTACGCAGACATCGGCTGTGGTAGATGTCCTGGATGGTGTGGAGACTGCTACCAGTGATGTCCTCTGCTGTTTGCACCACCTCTGTAGAACTTTCTGACTGGTGCAGTTCCTGTACCACCCTGTGATGCAGCCTGTCAGCAGGCTGTCAGTGGGGCAACTATAGAAGTTGGTGAAGATGCTGGTGTTTGTACCAAACTGCTTTAGTCTTCTTAGGAAGTAGAGTCTTTGTCTGGTTTTTTATGATTGTCTCCTTTGTTATTTTCTGTTGTAGTATAAGCTCAGCTCTATTGTATATTTTAATTTTAAAAATTTCACTAGAGTCTGATTTGTGTTTGGACCGTTTTTGTCCTGTTGAGCTCTGAATTATAAAAAATAATAACCTCATCCAAACCATCCACATGCCTGCTAGATCCCATCCCAACCAGACTGTTTAAAGGGGTATTTCCCCTAATTAATGTTCACATTTTGGATCTACTTAATTTGTCTTTAATGGATGGTTATGTACCACAGCGCTTTAAGGTTGCTGTAATTAAACCTTTACTTAAGAAGTCTGATCTTGATTCAGAAATCCTGGCCAACTATAGATCTATATCTAATCTAACTTTCATCTCAAAAATTCTAGAGAAAATAGTTGCAGGTCAGTTGTGTGAACATCTACAAAGAAATAATCTGTTTGAAGAGTTTCAGTCAGGGTTTAGAGCTCATCATAGCACAGAAACAGCACTAGTAAAAAGTCACTAATGATATTCTCATGGCCTCAGACAATGGACTTGTGTCTCTACTGGTCCTGTTAGACCTCAGTGCTGCATTTGATACAGTTGATCACAATATTTTACTACAGAGGCTTGAATATGATGTTGGGATTACAGGAACAGCTCTAAAATGGTTTAAATCATATCTATCTGATAGATTCCAGTTTGTAAATGTAAATAATAAATCTTCTTCATACACCAAAGTTAGTCATGGAGTTCCTCAGGGCTCAGTGCTTGGGCCAATACTCTTTACTTTATATATGCTTCCATTAGGTAAAGTTATTAAACAACATGGGATAAATGTTCATTGTTATGCTGATGACACACAGTTATATTTGTCCATTAAACCCAATGAATCCAATCAGCTACTTAGACTACAAGCATGTCTTGAAGACATAAAAACCTGGATGACCCTTAATTTTCTCCTGTTGAACAGACAAGACTGAGGTTTTGGTTTTTGGACCTGAGCACCTTAGGAATGAATGTTTCAGTCTTTCTCCCTCCTTAGATGCATTAATCTGTCCTCCAGCTCTAATGTTAAAAATCTTGGTGTTATTTTTGATCAGGACATGTCTTTTATCCCCCACATTAAAAACGTTCCTAGAACCTCCTTCTTCCACCTGCGTAATATCACTAACATTAGAAACATCTGATCTAAAGATGATGCAGAAAAACTGCTCCATGCATTTGTCACGTCTAGACTGGACTATTGCAATGGTTTATTATCTGGGTGTCCAAATACTTCTTTAAAACGTCTTCAGTTGATCCAAAATGCTGCTGCCAGAGTCTTAACTGGAGTTACTGGGAGAGATGTGAGTTCTGTGATGGAGTTAAACTCAAAGCTGCTCCTCAGATAAATAATATTAAATTATTATTTTTTAGATGAATGTTTCTGTTCAGCCCCTGAGACGACTTCTGTCGTGACTTGGAGCTTTAGAAATAAACTGAATTGAATTGAATTGAATTGAATTCATTGTAAACGAGGCCACTACCTCAACAGACTCCTGAGTTTAAAATAAATAAATTAATTTGATGTCTTGCATTCTTTATGCAGCTTTGATTTAAATACACTGCCTTTTTTTAGGTTTACCTGACACATTAGGTGTAGTTGCACAAAGTACCAGTACCAGCATCAGTATCAGTATCAGTACCAGTATCAGTATCGGATCATATACATCCTGGGATGGAACTAATGGCGGCTCTCTCCTCCGCAGGGCAGGAACTAAGTACTCGGTGTCGGTGTTCGGGATGTTTGATGGAGGAGTGAGTTCTCCTCTGGCAGGAGAGGAGAAGACGACTCTCTTCGAGGACCCTGAGCCTCCTCCCATGGACGCTCCTGGTAAAACCTCCCCCTCCTCACTCGCTGCAGACGCTCGCTGACCCAGATCCTTAGAGTTCTGCCAGAACCTGAGTAGTCTCGCTCGGCTCCTGTTTCTTCACCTCTGATCTCTGAACAAACTTAATTCAACACGTTTAAAGTCACGTTTTCACGTTAACGCTGACGAATGATCCGAATGACGTCTAGACCCCCACCTTTAACGGTTCTGGCACCAGAACCCCCAGAGGTTCCTGCTGAGCTCTGGGTCTGCTCGCCAAATGTTTCTTCAGTCATGGAAAATGAGACGTTTACACAATTCTGTTGCCTGAAGAGAAAAAAACGAGTTTTGTTTCTAATTAAAGACGTTTTTTATGGTTCGCTGCAGCAGCTCAGGAAAGTTCTGCTCTGAGGAGCTGCCGGGCCGGGGAATGGGCCATGAATGGTACCTGGGGATGGGCTGAGGAACAGAACAGAGAACAGACTGAGGTCAGAGAATGTGCCGGCCATGGGGCCGTGGCCCGGGTCAGGAAACGGGTGCTCCACAGTCTGTGTTTTTAAAGTCCAGTTTCAGAGTTCTGGTCGGGTCCAGATGGTCTGGCAGAACCCCTTTGACTCTTTGAGTCGTTATTTTAAAATCTGTTATTTTATAATTCATTTTAACGAAGCTTCAGACGGCCTGCCGGAGCAAAGGTCCAGTTAAAGGAGTCCGGTTCTGACACAAAGACAAGAAGACGTTTTAAATTCAGGACTTCCTGACTGATAAAAATCTGTTTGGCTTTTTGTCCCATAGGAGACACCGCAGGGGAACCTGTGGGTCAGGAAAGGTTCTGGTTCTGTGTACCTCTCATTGTTTAACACCAGCAGACCCATCAGAACCTTCAGAATGTCCACTCGTGTTCTGCCACCGCTTTACTTGAAGTTCCCATCGTGGACAGAGAGTGGACACAGTGACGAGACATTTCCCTGACGACAGAGAAAGTTTCTGTTTTTCTCATGAAATCAAAGACGTCCTTTCACGAGACATGTTCCACCTGAGAGCTGGGACAACCTTCAGGGTCTGCAGGACCTGCAGGGACAACCGCAGACCTTCAGGGTCTGCAGGGCCTCAGCTCTCTGCAGAGACATGATGTGGTCGAGCTCTGAAGGGGTTCTGGCAGAACCTGGGTCTGTTTCTGTAGAGGGATCATGTCTGCAGCTGCACTCACATTTCTAACTGTCCCACGGCCAAGCCGTCCCACAGACGAGGACGAGCAGAAACTTTTCCCCTGCAGGTACCTGGAGCAGGAACGTGTTTCTGAAGATGAATCCAGCTGCTGGGAGACAGCTTTAAAACGTGAACAGCTGGACGACACCAAGCATGGAGACAGTGTGGACTGATGTTCTGAATGATCTGTGTGACTCTGTAGAACCTCTGCTGACGCCTGAGCTGTCTTCATGTCTTCATGTCTCCTTTCACACTTTCCTTCTACTCTGGGTCCAAACAGACACTGCTGGTGTCCCCACGTCCTCCTAACATCCAGCTGTCTCTGCAGGCTTTCAGTGCAAGACGACCGCAAAGGCGGACATCGTGCTGCTGGTGGACGGCTCCTGGAGCATCGGCCGTATCAACTTCAAGACCATCCGGAACTTCATCGCCAGCATGGTGGGCGTGTTCGACATCGGCCCCGACCACGTCCAGATCGGTAACTTACTGCTGCTGCAAGTCACACCGCTGCAACTACCACTGCAACTACCACTGCAAGTACTACTGCAAGTACTACCACTGCAAGTACTACCGCTGCAACTACCACTGCAACTACCACTGCAAGTACTACTGCAAGTACTACCACTGCAAGTACTACCGCTGCAACTACCACTGCAAGTTCTACTGCAAGTACTACTACTGCAAGTACTACTGCAAGTATTACTACTGCAAGTACTACTGCAAGTACTACTGTACTACTGCAAGTACTACTGCAAGTACTACTATTGCAAGTACTACTGCAAGTATTACTGCAAGTAGTTCTACTGCTACTACCACTGCAAGTACTACTGCAAGTTCTACTACTGCAAGTACTACTGCAAGTACTACTGCTGCAAGTACTACTGCAAGTACTACCACTGCAAGTACTACTACTGCAAGTACTACTGCAAGTTCTACTACTGCAAGTACTACTGCAAGTACTACTGCAAGTACTACCACTGCAAGTACTACTGCAAGTATTACTGCAAGTACTACTACTGCAAGTACTACTGCAAGTACTACTGCAAGTACTACTATTGCAAGTACTACTGCAAGTATTACTGCAAGTAGTTCTACTGCTACTACTACTGCAAGTACTACTACTGCAAGTACTACTGCAAGTAATTCTGCAAGTATTACTACTGCAATTACTACTACTGCAAGTACTACTGCAAGTACTACTGCAAGTA